TGACACTGATTTGGGGTCAGTTCTGTGTGACTCATGCCACATGTTCAATTCAACAGGTTTCTGGACAACTAGCGCAGTGAACTGGAAGCCTCTCAGCGCTACACTCTGTTCAGGAGAATGGAGGCAGAGGAAGTGGACTTAACTCTCCTATGGAAAGACCAAGGTCATGTGACTCTTTCAACACCACACACACACACACACACACACACACACACACACACACACACACACACACACACACACACACACACACACACACACACACACACACACACACACACACACACACACACACACACACACACACACACACACACACACACACACACACACACCACACACACACACACACACACACACACACACACACACACACACACACACACACACACACACACACACACACACACACACACACACACACACACACACACACACACACACACACACACACACACACACACACACACACACACACACACACACACACACACACACACACTCCACAGGTTTCCAGACGTGTGTGTGAGCCACACATTTAGAAGGTTGGGAATGGAGTAGGCTACAAAGCACAAGAGCTACTACACATGTATATCTAAATATAATTATGTGAAATACTGAACATGTAGACCATGTGGTTTGTTAGCCTTATAATGTAACGGGGGAAAATATAAGGCTTTCCAAAGCAACTTAAACAATGGGAAAGTTGCCTTAATAATCACCAAAATAATATTAAAAATGACTGTTTTTCTAACCCGTGTAAAAGCCATGATGATAATAAAAGGTGTACCTTGAAGTCTTTCATGGTGTTCTTCAGGGTCTTGATTTGGTGCCCCGAGTGTCCTCCTTCTATGGTGCAGGCGTTGCACACACACATCTTGTCATCCATGCAGTAATACCTGGAGTTTCACACCAAATAAAAACAGAACTCAGAAAAACCTTTCAAAGAACAACTAAATATCTGCTAAATGATGAACCATCCAGATCTCTCAGGTCTTCAGGGACTGGTCAGCTTTCTGTCCCCAGAGTCAGAACTAAACATGGAGAAGCAGCGTTCAGTTATTATGCTCCAAATATCTGGAACAAACTCCCAGAAACCTGCAGGTCCGCTACAACTCTGACTACTTTCAAATCCAGGCTGAAGACTTTTATTTTTGTCGCTGCTTTTAATTGAACTATTCATATCTTAGACAGCACTGTAACTTTTATCCATGTACTTTTTCTTTTAATGTTTATCTTTTCTTTTTAATGACTGTTTTTAAATGCCATTTTCTGAATGTCTTTCGTTTTTTGTAAAGCACTTTGAATTGCCTTGTGTTGAAAAGTGCTATATAAATAAACTTGCCTTAAAAATATTACTGTTGTGTCAAATTTTCATACAATCATTTAAAATATATATATTATGTCTTGTACTCCGAATGCCTTTTACTCGTTTAAATGATCCTATATGTGTTTAACAGAGACATATGTTTAGGATTTACATTTCAGGAAGGGTAAAAGGTGGATTAGCAAATGGTTAAAGGACTGGGGGGTTTAATGGTTTAATGGGGGATGTGTAGATGACAGGGAATTTAAGGGTGGGACCAGTTGGCTATCCTCTACTTTATAGTGTGACTGTGAGCTGTGTTCTGGGTGCAGAACGTCTCTGTCCTCTGAGGGTGAAGTAGTTCTGTTCCGACATTTGAGATCGATGCCACTTGTATACAAGCTTTCTTTATTACTTTATTAAATACAACAAAAGACAAACGTTGTCCATGGATCATTTATCAGTTCCTCTTAAGAATGTGCGCTCCTGCCTCCTACCTGTATATCTCATCGTGATCCGGGCACTTCCTCTTCCACAAGTCGTTCATGGGTTCCGTCAGCGGATGCTCGCGAAACGCCGGCAGCTCCAGATGTGGTTTCACGTGCTCCTGGCACATCGACACCTCACACTTCAGGCACGTCTTGACGGCAAACATCGACCCAGAGGCGGCGGCTTCCTGCTTCTCCATCACCACCACAGATCCTGAAGCAGCAGAATACTTGTCGTCCACAGCGCAGACGCCCGATGCCTCTTCAGCCGCTGCGGGGCAGTAGTCGCAGGGAACAGCCAACACACTCTTGCCTTGCTGCACTGAAAGACTAGAGGACAGCGGCTCTCTGCATTTTGAAGCTGCAGCAGCCGCGGTGGTGGCGCTGCGCCGGTGCCGGTAGTCGTCGGCAATATTTGCTAGTTTGAAGTTTTTCTGAAAGTTGAGGCCACAGCGGTGGCTGTCGCGGCACTCGGGGCAGCGGAAGCGACCTCGATCCGCTTGTCGCCTTAAGCGGTTGAGGCAGTTCTTGCAGAAGTTATGGCCGCAAGGAAGCAAGTGCGGGTCGCGGTACAAGTCCAGGCACACGGGGCAGGTGAGCTCGTCCTGCAGGACGCTGGACTGCTCCGACTGAGCCGACGCCATGTCAGCGATGGATGGAGATGGGGAAAGAGGAAGTTGTGGGGATAGGAGATAATAAGGTGGAAGGTGAGGACAGGTGAGAGAGGGATGGGAGTGGGGGGAGAGGATGAGAGGCCGAACAGGTGGAGGGGGAGAGGGAGGAGGCGGCAGGGTTCCTGATGTGGAGCTCCACCCTCTGTAGGTATCTGGTTGCTTTAAGAAGAAACAGGACAGGAGAAATGCTCATTATACATCAAATTGCCTTACACTAAGTGTTGAACTAAGGAGACGATTCAACACTTAGTTCACAGCTATGTTGATCATGTAACCAAGCAAAACATTTTAAACATTCATTTGACAGGATTTCAAAACAACACATAAAGAAACTTTAGTTTGTTATTTTGGATTGTTTGAGGGTAAACCTATCATTGTGTTTATCGATTCATGTGTGGGTTGTTTCATACATTTGTAGATTGATCATTTAGACTGTAAAATATCAGAGAATAGTACCCATCATGTTACATTACCCAAGGCAATGTATTTAACCCTTAAATGGCCATTCACATATACATATGTGTTACACATGGACACAGCCTGTCAAACAACTGTATCGCTCAGGATAGAGAAACCATTTAGGGGTTACATTGTATTTTCTGTTTAAAAACACAATCCAGTCTAAATGTGAACAGGTCATCTGTGCCTTATATCAACTTTGTGTGAGTCCATGTGAACGGATTTACTTACCACACCACAGACAAAGTAAAAATGAAAGTAAAATGCACTGTAACTTACAGTAAGGCCCTGAGACAACCTCTGAAACAAGTCTGTTGTCCTGCTGGCTCAGATAAGCTTGTTTAAGACAGACTGTTTAAATGCTATGACCTCGAGATAAAGTAGAAACCTGCCACGTGTTGTTGACATCCGTCAAAAAGTTGTATCCCAATTAGTCAACAGTGTTTCCACTTGTCAGCCTGAGGGTTAACACTCTGTGAATCTGCTATGAACACGGTGTAAAGTAACTAAATATAAGTTATGTACTTAAATACAATTGTGAGGGACTGTTTTTCTACTCCACTGCCATTCAAAATGTAAATAGTGTGTTTTTACTTACTACTTATTTAATGCCTTTAGTTACTTTGCAGAATTACTTTTTTCATGAGGGACATTTTAATAGCAGGACTCTTACTTGTAACAGAGTATTCCTACACTGTGGTATTTCTACTTTTACTGAAGTACAAGAGTACTTCTTCCACCCCACGCAGGCCTGTGAACCTGCTCTTAACACGCTGTTAGAAAGTCGTTATTTATAGCACGTGTTCCCAGATTACAACCGTTAGCTACATTAACACTAACCTAGGTTAAGGGGTCAACCAACCGTTAGCTAATTTGCTACTTGTTAGCAACACTGGCTGAGTTCCTGGGAGTGCAATAAGCTTAACAAACCTAGACATACAGACAGTTAAATGTTCTTCTTACCTTGATAAATGATGTCCTTTTATGCCGTCTTCGTGAAGCCGAAACACTGATTTCTGTAGCACAACAATGCTGCTAACGATTTAAATGTCGACAGGCACCTGTCCTACTGAGGCTAACATGTCACCGTTGTTGCTTGTTGTTTTTCTGTTTCCCACAAACATTCCGGTCTGTTGTGAGTCACCGGCCATTTAGATTCTAATCTGGAGTTTTCTGCATTTGACACAAAAGGACGAGTGGAAACACACCTGTATGAAAGACAAACGGACTAAACGGCTAATAATAAACAGGGCAGGTTGATGCGGTGAAAAGGCTGCGTTCAGGGAGCCTCGGAAATTACGCTGCTATGCCATGTTCACCGGAAATGAGTGTCCGCAGAGGGCGCTGTTACATCAATGTTGCGTCACATTTTCAGAGAATGCTGTTGTTGTATCCAGTGGTGGAATACCAGAATGTGGAATAAGTCATTTGTTTATTTTAGCAACATATTTCATACACAGATTTTTTTCCAACTTTTTGAACAATTATTGAAATACCACAGAAAAAGACACATCACCTCACTGTAGTACACACTTGGCTTCCAAAATGTAGTACAGTAGAAGTATAAAGTAGTATAACATGGAAATACTCAGGTAAAATACAAGTAACTAGAATGTGTACTTAAGTACAGTGAATGTGTGTACATTTACTACTTTCCACCACTGGTTATTACTGTTTTGTAACTATTGCCAGGCCTTCTTTTTATCAAAACTCTAATATGTAAATACATATATTGCCAAAACAACAAACATGCATTCATTATTTCCAAAGATATTTGTATGTTCCTTTAATACATAATAAATTAGCAACAAATACAACTAAGAACTCAAAAAATACAAGAACTGCAAATACAATCAATTCCGTTTCCTATTTATTTTAATATGCATGTATTGTAGGCTGTGTTGGAAAAGTACATTGTTGTCATGATTTTAGTTTTGTGTTTAGTCATGGTTTTATTTGTGAAATTCTGTTCTCCCTGTGTCTGGTCTTCCTTCCTGTGTCTGATTGTCTCATTGTGTTCACCTGTTGTGTTTCACCTTGTGATTACCCTTCTGTGTATTTAATACAATACGCTTTTTGTATGTATATTTTTTTTATTCATCTTTGTGATACATGAACATCATACATTTGACATACTGTACAACAGACAAAGTCCATGGGCAGAATTACAAAGCAACAAGACATTACATATGCAGTAAATAAAGAAAAAAATAAAGAAAAATACATTTTGATACTTCAAAATTAGTTTTGATTGCCTTCTTATTCCTAATGTTCTTAATAGTGCTAATATATTCTTTACATTCTTGATAGAAATGTACAAAATGTAGTTTGTAGTCAGCCCATTTCTTTTTATGGATGTAAAATGTACCTAAAAATACAACTAACTGCACAAAAAATACAAAATCTGCAACCATACTATCATCCCTGAAGTACAAAAGAATGTATTTGTCCTGGAGTTGAACCCTTTGTCCCGTCGTTTTCCGAATAAAACATTCTACATACCACAATATTCTTCAATACAAGCAGTCGTAAAATAAATGGCCAATAGTCTCTTCTTGTAGATTACAAAATGTAAGATGTGTTGTCTTTTACTGCATTTGGGTCCTATATTCCCCAATCCTGACAATTGTAAAAAGCACATTAAAATAAAAATGTCTTTGATATGAAATCAGACTCAATACTCATTATATTCAATTACACTACCAGCATTATTAAAATGGAAGCCACGTGGTTAAGATACAGATAAGGTCAAAGTAAGGTCAATCATTGTTAAATCAACAAGTCAAAGAATGAATATCTGATTTTGAGAGAATCTTTATGAAACACCAATTCACCAAAAGTAATTGTTAAAGGAAAAATCATTTGTGGGACATGATACAACCTCAAAACCTACGGTTGATTTACCAATGGTCTGAAAAAGTTGATCATTTACACTTTACCGCATCAGAATTATTTTTTGACCTATTTTTCATGATTTTTGTATCTTTCTGTTACAAATGCAACGTTTGTGTAAAACACATTAGGCAGGCTCTCTAGGGATAACAATGTTGGTCAGTCCACCATTTTGGTCCAGACTGACATATCTCAGCAACTTCTGAATGGGTGGCCATGACACTTGGAACTGACATTCATCTTGTAGTCCCAAAGTGGTCATTCATGCAATCACTGTCCAGACATTTGAGGATCTCTCACTCTGAAGACGAGAGGACCCTGGATGGTGAAGCCAAGATAGGAAAGCATTGGGCCTGGCGCTGAATCATCATCAGGGTAAACTCTGGTTTTAGCTTCTATTTTCTTCCCCCCAGCCAAAACGTACACCATCTTGTGATCCTGTGGAGATAGTGGAGACTGGCATGGCTCCACGTTGATTAGGCTCAGCATGTCTTGGATTTCTTGGATTCGCCACACATCCCCTGTGATCCACATTTCATGGATCCGCATCCATTTCTCTTTCGTTCTCTCTCCTTGTTCATCAGATAGCTCAGCGTGCACTTTTTTTTCCACAATTGCATCCAACTTTGATTTGTGAATCCATTTGCGAAGTCCAGAGCCCTTGCCCAGAAAGAAGAGAGGCAAAAGGTACCGACCTCGAAGGTACTTGGCATATCTGGTTGTCTCAAAAGCTTGCTCCATTAATGTAACATACTGTTGCAAATTAAAGTTAATTAAGCGGTCAAGAGAATGTTCTCTAAGCATTTCTCTGGCTTCTTGATAATCATCGATTGCCTCATCCTCCCGCGTTGTGTCCTCCAAAAAGTCATCCTCTGTGCTCTGTTGTTCGTCTTCTTCATCCTCCTCTTCCTGCACGGCCTGAGATTGTCCGTCAGACCAAAACAACAGCAGAACCAAAAGGTAAAACTCAGGGCTTCTGCCGCGTTTTTCTGTGTCCAAGAATCGGTCTATTATTGCTTGGAGTTCTTTCACCGGGGTGAGCATAGGAGAGTTGTGCATCTTGTTGCTCAAGATGATGTTGGAGAGAATGTACATTTCAGCTGCTTTGACATCAAAGTTTTCCTCGTAGTTGGCTTTCAAAGAGCCTTGGTTTGCCTCCAAATCAGACACTGTTTCCTGGTGCTCCTCAAACAAAGCGCGCCTTCCCTTAGAAGTGAAAAGGCCTCGATTCAGACTATCGAGGAGGCCTGCAAAGGTGATGGACTCAGTTGCTTTGTTTGTTGTGTACATTTCGTAACAAAGAGCAACATCCTTCCAGAAGTAAGATGGCTCCAAAGATTGCATGTCAGGCTGAGAGTAGGCGAGGTACCATTGGAAGAAGGCAAACTTGGCTTTAACTTCCATTTTTTTCTCCTGGATGAAGCTGTGATTCAGTTTGAACCTGCTGAGTTTCTCAAAGGCTATCTTTGCCACTTGCATGAAGCCAAAGTAGCCTCTGTTGTTGAAGGTAACTGAAATGCTTTCAGTACCTGCTGAGTCTACCATGTCTGGGCTCACTTCTTCGTCAGCTTTCACCTCAACATCTTTAAAGGCTTGGAAGGCCACTTTTGCCTTGCGTAAGATTTCCTCAGGTTGCCAGGATTCCCTCAAAAATTGGTTCTTATGAACCTGCCCGAGAGTGTCAGCAACATAAGAGTTTTTTGGAGCTCTTCTAATGGCAGTATTAGCCCACTCCTCAGCTTTTTTATAGTCAATGATGCCTCCTCTGATGTAATAGAGACGAGAAATTGTTTGGGGGAAAAAGGTGTTCCCTGTCAGTTTATAAGCTGCGGTTTTCAATACAGACACAGCGTTGTAGAAATTCTCTTTCTCCTGTATGTCTGAAATCAACCTTGAGAACTTCTCTCTACCCTTTTCTTCCAATACTCTCGTTGTCAGCAATGTTTTAATGGAGTCGATTATATGTGGCTGAGTCTGATCTCCACAGAGTGAAACCATGAACTCCTTCATGGTAGCACTCCTGGAAAGACCTAGGGCAGCTAGTTCGTTCACAGCAGTCTTCGCGAACACTTGGTAAATCGAACATTTGTGTTCAGACGGACCGGATATGTTGATAAAGTCAATGAAAGGCTCCATTCGTTTTTCAAAGGGGGGGCCGCCATGGATGGGATCAGGTGGTCCGAGGATCTGTTGACACTCAGACATCAGGAGGTAGGCCTCAGGATCGTATGCGTTCAACATCGCCAAAAAAGAGAATAGTTGCATCTTTGGGGACTTATTGTTTTGTGACAAATCCTCTGATGATAGCAGTTGCTTGAGCTTTTCAACTCTTTCCTCCACTGTCGACTCCATGACGGTGAGCTAAGACTTCAAAAAGATGAAAGTGTGTTCTTCTCTTGATGCTAATGCGCCACAAATGTACTGCAGCAGTATTCACACACCTAAAGGGGAGATAACAACAGATGATGACGTCAATCGGTTTGTACACCACTTGAAATATCACAACTATTGACATTTGTTTTAATGTAATATGCCCCAACTACTATTGGGTTGCCACAATATTTGTTATAGATATCAATTGCCATGCACAATAATTCAGTAATTGGCTAAATATCTGAAAAACTGTTGACATTCCCATCAAGCTCAAACCACTTTTGTTGGTTTTCTTTATAAATAGTTTTTTTTAAATTTTTTTACTTCTTATAGATATTTTTAAACTACACCAATTGGGATCCATCGAATAAAGACACTGGCTCTCAGATCTCTTTATTCAAGATGTTACTATTAGTTACCCACCATACAGTTTTACCCAACCTGGATACCCAAATGTTGTTCTAAATTACGTGTTACAGTGGGGCAAAAAAGTATTTAGTCAGCCACCAATTGTGCAAGTTCTCCCACTTAAAAAGACGAGAGAGGCCTGTAATTTTCATCCTAGGTACACTTCAACTATGAGAGACAGAATGGGGGGAATTAATCCAGGAAATCACATTGTAGGATTTTTAATGAATTAATTGGTAAATTCCTCGGTAAAATAAGTATTTGGTCACCTACAAACAAACAAGATTTCTGGCTCTCACAGACCTGTAACTTCTTCTTTAAGAGCCTCCTCTGTCCTCCACTTGTTAACTGTATTAATGGCACCTGTTTGAACTTGTTATCAGTATAAAAGACACCTGTCCACAACCTCAAACAGTCACACTCCAAACTCCACTATGGCCAAGACCAAAGAGCTGTCAAAGGACACCAGAGGGAGTTGAAAGTCCGTGTTGCCCAGCGACAGCCCCAAAACATCACTGCTCTAGAGGAGATCTGCATGGAGGAATGGGCCAAAATACCAGCAACAGTGTGTGAAAACCTTGTGAAGACTTACAGAAAACGTTTGACCTCTGTCATTGCCAACAAAGGGTATATACCAAAGTATTGAGATGAACTTTTGTTATTGACCAAATACTTATTTTCCACCATAATTTGCAAATAAATTCTTTAAAAATCAAACAATGTGATTTTCTGGATTTCTTTTTTCTCATTTAGTCTCAAAATAAAAAGATCGGTACTAGTGTTTATTGCAAAAACTTATTGGAATGAACTTATTGCACATATTAAACCTGGAACTAACAAAGCTTAGATTATTGCCTATAAAAACAACATTAAACATTAAATAATCAGTTGCATTCATTTCTTATGGCTCTATCTGCAGCTTTTCCAGAGTCATTTCTTATGAGTACATTTTTCCACAGGCCAACAACAGCTTCAAAAAAACTATTTCCCTCAAAGAGAAAACCAAACATGCCCTGTTGTCTCAAGAAGAAAAGTGCAGAAGTGATGCTAGTGATGCTAATTCAAGCAGATACTTGGCATCTCATCTTGGGTGCAAGTTCATCAATGTTTGGGCTCAGGCTCTGAGCTGAGGAAACCCTCAGGATGGAGTGCAATATACCGGCGGGCCAGATCTAATAGTAATTAGAAATGATCCTGCGGGCCGAAATTAAATCCATCAAGGGCCTGATTTGGCCCCCATTTCTCAAAGATTGAATGAATATAATTAAAGTTGGTAAATACAATTCTATTTCCATAGACTTATTCAAAAGTGGTATTGTTAAAAGTATCTCCGATTTTTATTTTATTTTATACAGTTCACTGACCTGCACCAGTGATAATGATGTTTTCTGATTTCTGGTCCAACGTCTTTGGCTGTTTGCAGATGCCTGATGAAAAAACACATAAATAAACAGGTTATAACTATCAGTGTATAAGAAATGGCAAAACTTTACATTTCCAATCTGAAACATTTCCAGAAACAAATTAAAATGTTAACTTAGGAACGTGTTGTGAAAGTCACAATCCAGGTAAGTAAAAAATAGGAAAGCTTGAATTCGGTAAAGATTTTATCAGCAGATAAGAAAAGATAAGATGTACTTTAGCAACAGCTCAACAAGCAAGGCATTGCACATAAGTATAAATTAAAAGAGTAGAAATAAACAATTCTAAAATGTAAACATTAAAGATTATTATTAACATTTATTTAACTGTGAAAAAACAGTGAAGTAATCATTTGTTACCTGTTCGAGTTCCAGCAGTTGTGTGTCCGTCAAAGGATCCTGACAATGTTATTTATACAGTTGTTAGTCACACCTTCTGAATACCTAACATTTTTAAACTATGAATATTGCCTACACTTCATTGGTTGTTATTACTCCAGGTGATTTATAATAAGAACCCTCTATAGTTCATGGCACAATGACTCTTAACATTTCAACTCATTTCTTGGAAGTGAAATCCTTTCGGTTAGGTTTTCAAATAAATGAACTGCTTTCCTGGAAACGTCTTTGCCAATAATATACTTGAATAAGGCTACTTTATAGTATCAACCTTTCAAAAAGAACCAGTATAGATATCATGCTTTTGAGTTTATAATTAAATTATTTGAATAACAAAATACATTGTTTTTTTAAGATATAAATTATAATCTTGCAAACAGTTAAGATGAAAATGTTTAGAGGAGTGTAAGGCCCTCCATAGAGTTGCAGTGTGTCCTTGTAAATCTTTAAGAGTATTTAGATAATGTTATTTACATAGTGACTAAGGGATTTGGTGCTGCAACAAACACAACCATTATAAAGTTACATTTTAAAACTGCTCTAATCAATATTGTCACAATGGATTAAATCAGTGAAGCGATTTATAATATGTTTGTGTTACGACCTGCAACTTTGTCTTAGTTCGTGTTGTTTAGCAGCCAGATATGTCTCTCAAAAGTTAGTTCATGTTGGCGTGGTGGAGATACAGTATCTCTACAATAGACCAATTGTACTGGTGGGGCCAGTTATTTCATGAGAGGGGCACAATAAAAGCAGGTTAAAAAGACAAAGACAGTATAAAATAGTTGTGTAAAATAAATCCTTTGTTTCAGTCGCTTTGTTTTAGTAACTTTAAGTAACAATTTAATAAAAAAAATATAAACAGTATTTGCTTTTATATAAGGTAATGCACAGTATAATCCCCACTGTACATCCGGGTATCTGATTTGATTTAGTTCAAATAAATCGTAATATTGTAACCTTTTTTTTGGAGGGGGGCCACAGGGGGGTCCCTGGTCAGTGTTAGGGGGGCACTGTCCCCTGTTGCCCCCCCCCCTTAGAACCGCCCCTGTAAGGACGGGTTTAGAAGCCTTGAAAAAGTTAGTATGTGGACATTAAGATAAGACTTTGCTAACTCAACCTAATTATCAAAAAAACTCTTTTTAAAAAGACACAGAGATTTGTTTTTACAACACCACAGTTATCTTGGTTATCACTTTCTAAAATGGTTCCCCTAAACTTTTCTTTAAAGATGAAATCAACAAGATATAGTGTATTAATTATTGAGCTTTAGAGTTGGTGGATGTCTTTATTCTTTGGACATCTGTTCTGCCTCTCCCTTTATTTTTTAGCTTATGACCCCAAAGAGAAACCAAATTCCCTAAAAAACCTGTTTGGTGACACTTTATTTGAAGTACACAATTTTAGCATCTAAAAGCCAGCCTGTCCTCCTACAAAAAACGACCATACAGTATAGGTCGATTGTTCAGCAGCTAAATTAGACCCAGAGTAACGTTTTAAAGTGTATCACCTCTAGTGGTCGTGTAAGAAACAACATGCTCCCGTTGATTGCAAACGCTCCGGAGGGTTGTTTATTCACAAATAACCCTCTCTGGAAAATCCTAAATTGTGGAATAGTTTGGCCATTAAAATGCTTTTTTATTATATTTTAGTGTATATTGTACTTTTATAATCTACGTCCAGTGGATGTGTAGGATCTATAGTTTGATAGATATTACGAAGATGATTTGAGGTCTCGCCAGGAGAACGTGTATATGCGGCAGCTTCCATGTAAAGTTAGTGTGGGGGAAAACAGTATTTCCGGTCTCGATTTTTTCATAATAAAACCGGAAGTATTCCCTTCACTGTCAAATGATTACACAGTGATATCTGCATTACTCATCCACTAAAAAACATCTATCTATCCTTGTTAATTACACAATATTGATTGGTTTAAATTGTGTACAATGCTTTTGTGTTTTTAACCTTCAATTCGGAGAAAAACATAGTTTTTTCGGAGTTTAGACACTGAAGAGTTTCCGAAGACACTACACTACCCAGAATCCCCAGCTATCGTTTGGGACTACAACATCCGCCTTGCTTTACAAACCCCGTGATTAGCCCTCAAGCTCTGTGATTGGATGTTGGAGTAGCAGTGTGACAAGGTTACGCTAAGCGTCAAACAGCTCTATGGAATGGAACCACGGCAGACTATCCAAAACTGGACTTGGACGGGTCCAGCCCTCCCCCCCCCCAGAATTACACATGCTGGCTATTGTGTGTTTCGCAACATGTTATATGGCACGTCTCTACTGGGAATTGTAGTTTTAAAAGACGTTTTCGTATTTTCAACAATTAGAAGTTGCCAGTATTAAACTGTTTACGCCCCTGGAGGTTTAGGGGATACGACACACAGTGGTGTTATCACATTTAAAAAATATAATTATTAAATGGGTGAAAATTGCTTGTGTCCATAATGGGCAGCATTAGTATACCCATATAACAGCTAAGGTCAGAAGAGCTTTATTTAACAGCTGGTCTTATGTCTGTGACCCCTCCTGTTGTTATTATATATATATATATTATATTTAATCATAGATTTTCACTTGTAAGGAGTAGAAATATGATTCAGATATCTGCGGAATCGCTAGAATCGTAGATTTTCAAGAGTATCTCCTGTGAGACTGTACCCAGGGCACAGCAGCCAATATTGCCGCTCAAAGCAGCTTGATTCGGCGTTACACTGTAGAGGCTTCTCAATACTCAAATTTCCCCTCCTCGACTCCCCTCCTCGGTTCCCCTCCTCGATACTTAGACCCGCCCACAGGAGATGCGAGCGGAGGACCGAGGAGGGGAACCGAGGAGAGAGGAGGGGAAGCAGCAGGCGTTTAAAGAAATGAGAACTCCTCTCCTCTGAGCGGTCATATTAAAGCGACGTCCGTTCATTATTACGTGGCAACAGCTGCATCAGCTGTCGAGTGTTTTGTCATAGCGCTGTATTTTATCATCTCTGTTAGATCAGCTGAACATTGTTCCCCCACATATTTACTTTGAATTCATTGAGAGTGCGGTATAATGAGACAATAACAGGCTACAGATGCGGACACACAAATATATTTATATAAATATATACAATTTAAAGTATGAGAGCTCAGCACTCTCATAATAACGTAACACAATCAGAGACTGGATATATCCCCCCCTCTCTTTGGTCGCTGAAATGGGGAATTGAAATTACGGGCCAAAAGTTGTATTTACAAGTATTAACTTGTAATAATAATAAGCCGCTTACAATACTCCGTGAGATCAGGGAGCAGATATAAGATGGAAGTTTCCCTAACATACAAAGCCATGTTAGGGAAACTTCCATCCTACATCTGCTCCCTGATCTCACGGAAAATTGTAAGTGAGATCGCATGCTGTGGTTTTATTAAATGTGCCAACTGCTAGGACTGTCTTAGGGAAGACAGCTTTTAGATGCACAGCTCCTCTGTCTTGGAATAGTCTGCACATTAAATGGAAACTGAACAATCTGGTGCCACTAAATGTTTTTAAAGCTCGGTTGGATGCTAGTCAATCGTAAGCTATTGGTACCTGTTTATGTGGATAATTATGTAAATGATGCTGTATGATGTCCTTTTGTTGTTCTATTTATGTTTTTATGTTTCATGTGGAACTACTTGAGCAGGTCTGCCTTGAAAAAGAGATCAATGATCTCAATGGGATTTTATTATGTGACGCACTAAATGGTCTTAGAAAAATATCGACTCTTTGTACTACAGCAAATAAAGAGAGTAATGTAGGCCTGTTATACTGAGTGATATTGTACACTGCTCTGCTTTCTGCACGGACCTCACAGCTGTTCTCACTGTAAACATCGCAACGCGATGAAAGCAGTTTCTAAAATAATATCCAGAGGATGCATGCAGAGCTGTCATTGGCTGAGATAAGTCCGGCCGTGCGTCACGCCTCCACCGTTCCCGAAAATGCATCTGCGGAGGAGCCGTGGAGGAACCATCAGTGTATCCTCGGTTAGAGCTCCTCCAGAGAGCCTCCTCGACGCTCGATCCTCATTTAGAGAAATGAGACGTCCTTCAAAATGGCGCGCTGAAATTCATTTCCGGGTCACTACCGGAGGACCGAGGACCGAGGAGTCGAGGAGGGGAAATTTGAGTATTGAGAAGCCTCTCCATAACAGGTGTCTCCCATCAGTTTCAGTCTTTGAGTCTGTGAAGAAGATAGAGAAAATGGCTCGAAGGAACTTTACCGTTGCGGACGCGCTGGATTTTATTTTCGCGAGCGGCAGTGAAGAAGATGGCTCATCAGAACCTGAAGGCTTCGACTCTTCTGAAGAAGAAGAATACAGGGACAGCAGGGATCCATTTGAGGGTGGGTAAGTGTAAATATAACTTGTAGTGCATTTGCCATTTTGTGAGGAGTACCGCGAAAATGAACAATGAATTTATCAACCTTTTTATTTTCCCCTCATGAACTTTTTCTCGGGACAAAATAGACTCTTGATTAGTAAACGTTTACTCTGTGTAAATGTTATTTATGTGTAAACGTTATTTTGGCATGTATAAGTAAGGTTACATGTGTAGATGAATAAAAAGAATCCTTTATTCGTCCCACAACGGAGACATTTATAGACATGTATTTTATTTGATCATACTGTTCTGTACAGATGAGACTTTGTCATAGACTTATTTACATGTGTGTCTGTGATAAACTTTATTTATGTGTAAACGTTATTTTGGTGTGTATAAGTAAGGTTACATGTGTATATGCATGAGATAATCCTTTATTTGACCCACAACGGAGATATTTAATTTATTTATGTGTGCCTGCCATTTGTGTGCTACTACATGTGTAGTAGCTCTTGTGCTTTGTAGCCTACTCCATTCCCAACCTTCTAAATGTGTGGCTCACACACACTTGTGCTGAGTCTGGAAACCTGTGGAATGTGTGTGTGTGTGTGTGTGTGTGTGTGTGTGTGTGTGTGTGTGTGTGTGTGTGTGTGT